ATTGTATCAAAACCAATTAACAAAGTTGCACCCCTTCGTAGTATAATACCACCACAGTGATATTTTCTGAGTTAGGGTTAAAAACAGACCCTGTTCTCAAAGGGTATAATCTAATGAAAGACTGAAACCAAAAGAGCACAGAGGAAATATGTATATATACACAGATTGCATTAAAAGCACAAATAGCAAGGTGGGAAACAGAATAGATAAGGTGAGTTTCCCATGTCCTAAGGATATAGGTTTCCCCTACACTGTGTGGAGCAAATCCTCCTAGTTTGATAAATGGGAGAAAATGAGGAACAGAACAGGTGAAGAGAAGAAAATGCCCCTGGTGACAAAGTCAGGAATGAGATTAAATCCAAGACCCGGGAGAGGCACAGCCTTGTCCACTCCCCGATCCTCTCCCCATCTTTGTGCAGAGTTCAGGGGCTCCTGCTTATCTCCCAATAGCCCAGGGCTAAGGAGGAGGTAAGGGCTTCAGAAAATGCGAGATCTGAAAGAATAGGAAAGAGAAAAGGAGTCCAAGAGGAAAATGCCAAATGTCCCACTGGGGGGCGGGAAGCAGTAGACCTGAGTATTCAGGAGACATAAGGATTTTTCCTTTTCCCAAGTGCTCACTGTAGGTGAACTGCATCAAGCCAGCGGAAGGATCTCAGTCTGACCAGGCTAGGTTCCTCCCAAGTCCAAGGCACAGGAGCACAGATCTCACTTCCAGTCTTGGAATTCCAGGGCTAGCTCTTAAGGACTCAGTGGGAAGACGAGACTATAAGTTTTCCTCCTCCTCCCTTCTCAATAACGTTACTGCCCTTTGGAAACACTCCTTGATCTGGGAGACTGCCTGGTCAGTGCCAGGAGAAAAGGGAAGATCCCTTTTCAGTGGGATTTTCCAAGACCCTGCTCGGGCTCTGCCTTTAAGGACTGCTGGGAAAGCGCTCAGTGAGGGAAGTAGAAAGGAGGTACTGCCCAGTTAGAGGGCTAAGGAATGAAGATTTCACTTCCAGCAAACAGCTTGCCTGTCCTGTCTGTGGGGGAGGGTGCACCAGCCAGCAAGGCCAAGTAGGCCCTGCAATCTAGGTGGCGCTATTTCTCTACATTTTGGGTTAATTTCCTGCAGGAACTTCCTCGAGGTCCCTAGTCCTGCTCCTGGTTTGCTGGCTTGCTCGTGTAAACCACCTTATATTTTTTTTTTTTCTAAAAATACTCCAAAGCAATTGAAAGAGTCCCTTCTCCCACCAGCCAGCCCTGGCCCCAGCCCCGGCCCCGGGGAGCGGGCGGGTAGGCGGGGAGGTGGGCCACTGCTTTATTAAACACAGGGAAAACTAATATTTACGGAATAAAATTTATGGAGCAGCCACGAGAATTCGACCCTTTTATGTGCACGCGGAGTGGGGGTTGGGCCAGGCTAGGGGCCTCGGGGAGGGGCCCAAGCCTGGGGGCAGGGCTGGAACACAGCCTGGCTAGGCCAATTTGTCAAGGCAGGGATTTCCCTGGAGTTGCCCTGGGAAGAACGATTCCCAACCACCGCCCCTAGCTTTGGGGGGATAAAGCCTTCAGAACAAGAATGACCGAGCCAGGGCCTCTGGGAGTAATGTTTCTCTAAAGATGCATTTGGGCAATATCCCCATGGAGGCAGCAACCTTTGGGAATAAAGACAGCAGTGGGTGGGAAGGTCACTGGGCATACTCTTAAACCAAAAAACCAAACCTATTGCCATCAACCGATTCTGACTCATGGCAACCCCACAGGACAGAAGAGAACTGCCCCATAGGGTTTCCAAGGCTGTAAATCTTTATGGAAGCAGATTGCCACATCTTTATCCCACGGGGTGAGTGGTGGGTTGAAACCTCCAACCTTTTAGCAGCTGAGAGCTTAAACGCTGTGCCACTTGGGCTCCTGGCATACTCTTACTTAACATTTTTAAAAAGTGACATATTCTTTTGAGAACATGGAAAAAGGAGTTATGCTCTGACCATTTTACTTACAATGTCAGTGGATTCACAGACCCCTGATCCCCTCTGTAATTAAAAATGCTCGTTCTTGAGACCGCACTCTTAGGGCAGAGGGAGTCTCCAGGGTGAAGACTCATATTGTCCCCAAGCTTGCTGGGAACGCCTTTCCACTTTCTACGTGGTCTCACGCCCCGCAGACACTGAAATCTGGCTATCTAAATTCTGCGACAGCCATCTGCCAGCAGGTTTTTACCAGTTCACTTCAGTTAAGTCACTACCATGGGGCACTCTGGGATACTGTGGTTGGGAGGTAAAAAGAAGTCAGCAGCAGCAATTGGGAATGAGTCCCAATGGAGCTCTCAGACTCTGCTGGCAGGTAAAGGCTGGGGCATGAGTCCTGGACAGCTCGAGGCTCCCTACCCTGAAGTGGCAATGGAGAGCAGAGCATCCTATCAACAGGAGGCAGGGTAACTGGATAAGGATATAGGAAAGCAGGATCTAACATCCTTCCTGGAAAATATTTTCAGTGATGTATACAATAATGCAGTTAAGAACTGGACTGTCTGGGTTCCAATTTTGGCTGTCACTTATTATCTGTGTGACCTCTGATAAGTTGTTTAATCACTCCAAGACTCAATTTGCTAGCGGGGTTCTATCTTCCTCACATAATACTGTAAGGATATAATGTCAGATGCTTATTACAGTATCCAGTATACGTTAACTGCTCAATGAATGTGAGTTGTTTATTATTGCTGTTGTTCTAATTATAATAATTCCTATTTTATTATTGCTTGGATTGTCCTCTCCCTCATAACTTGACAGAACACCAGTCCCAGCTAAAACCCAAAAACCAGTGTGATGGTTAAGGTTATGTGTCAACTTGGCGAGGCCATGATTCTCAGTGGTTTGCCAGATATGATGTAATCATCATCCACGATGTAATCTGTGGTGAGCAGTCAATTGCTTGAAAGAGGAGTTTCCTTGGGGGTGTGGCCTGCATCCAATAGATATGGATGTTCCGGCAAAGCTCGCCCTCTCTTGATCCTGCATCTGACTCATCATCCTCTGATCTCCAGTTCTTGGGATGTGAGCCAGCAGCCTGCCTTCTGACCTGCACATTTGGGGATTTACCAGCTCCTGTAGCCCTGTGAGCCAGCAGCCTGCTGTCTGACCTGCCAATTTTGGGTTTGTCAGCTCCTGCAACCACATGAGTCAGGAGAAGCCTCCAGCCTGACACCTGACCCATGGATTTGGGATTTGCCAGCCTCCACAACTGCGTGAGCCACTTCCTTGAAATAAATCTCTCTGTATATAGATATGTACATTTATATATATATATATGTTTCCTGGTTTTGCTCCTCTAGAGAACCCAGCCTAAACCAACCAGTTTGCTGCAAATAGATTCTGAGTCATGGTGACTCCATGTCTGTTGGAGTAGAACTGTGCTCCAAAGGCTTTTCAATGCTGTGATCTTTCAGAAGTAGATTGCTAGGCCTTTCTTCCAAGGCACCTCTGGGTGGATTTGAACCGCCAACCTTCTGATTAGTCAAGTGCTTAACTGTGTGTGTCACCCAGGGACTCCAGTCCCATCTAGAGAAGATATATGGATGAGGAGGCATTTGACCATCTCAATAAGTAAATAAACCAGAAAAAGGCCTCTATTTTTTTCTGCTCCTGACCCCTTCTTCTACTTAATAGTTTCCAATGAACATCTGAGTTACTACTTTCTTTACTGTTTCTTTCTGTTCCCTTACAGGGTAAAGTTCCAGTTGGTCTTACCTATAGGGGACAATCTAGCAGAGAAGGCCAAGGAACTTAGTCAATCCCAGTCTGCCAAACTTTGCTATATATGTCTGAAGAGCTGACTTTCTCACTGTCTGAGATGCTTTCTAACTCACTCAGCCTTTACATTTTCTCCTTCTTGGCACTATTAGTGGTATAGGCCAATTCTGTTGTCCCAGAGAATTCCTCTAGTGGTTTCCCTGTCATCCTAACTTTCCTAGTTCTTCTACTTACAGGCACTCCCCAGGTTATGAACAAGATCTGATCCTAACTGTGCCTTTAGGTCGAATTTGTAAGTCAGTAACAGATGCACACGGTTCTTATTTAGCTTTACTCCGAGCAAGAAAAGGCTCGAAGCTTCTCAATGATTTAAAAGTTGCCTGTGTAGCAAGTGAAGGCGATTGTGATGAAGAATTTGTCACGAGTAGGGGTTGGTTCAATTGGTTCAAAGTGATGGCAAATTTACATAACATTAAAGGGCAAGTACAAGTTGTCCTTAAGTTGGATGTTTGTATGTTCCTAACCCAGGGACTGTCTGTACTATGTTATCTGAAGTGGAGTGAAGGGTGGGAAAGTAAAATTCCTTTTCTCCTACCCTAGTGAAACTACCTTGACCCTAGTGCGCGAAGCTCTTTATAATTTCAGCACTGTGTTGGTTTAACCTGTTGTCTATGCCTTGGAAACAGGAAAACACATCAAGTTGGGCAAAAGAAAGCAGCAGCCATCTGTTCTGTCTTGTGCCAACCATGAAGAGAGTTCTCTAGATCAAGTTCCCAAATGGAGGCTAAGCTTAGGCCACAGCAGAGAAGCATAAAAAGAATCTGAAGGATTGTATTGAAGGTGTAGACTTCATCCAGAGACAACATGGGGTGGGACCCAGAAAAGGGAGGTGGGTTATGTCTTCATCAGAATGAGTCATCTCAAAAGCAGGGGAGTGTGAGTTCTTTTTATTCCATGCTAAAGAGAGAAGAAGTGGGTCTCTGAGGAGCACCTGGGACTGACTAGGAACTCTTGAGAAAGGTAGACAAGGCTTCCTAAGCATGTGTGTGCCTTTTTGCTGACAGACTTGTCCTATATACTTAAAGTCCATGGTAGGATCCTGGGCCTAGAAAACCTCCACAAGAAGAGAGGAGGATATGGGATTCCCAAGAGACTGGCTTCCACTCAGAGGGGGAAGGCCAGTGTGTAACAGGTTGGAGCCAAGATTCCCTTGGTTAATTGTCCCCACTCAGGTGGCCTGTCAACATGAGCTTTAGTTATCTCGCCCTTACAGTGGGAGCCCTGACTATAACTCTGTTGCAGAGATACCACTGCCATGCGAGCTCCTTCCGAAGTGACATCAGGAAGTTATTCTCCATGCCCATCCTCAGAAGTGAGACAGTGACAGGTTAACTGAAGAGGCCCCTTGGCTTCTTTCTCTTGACCTTTGATAGCTGAGGCCTTGGCATAGAGCCTGAAGTACTCTAGGAAAAAAAAGAACCCAAGTTAACGGGGTTTTGAAACAGTTCCACTTAAGTTAGGAAAGGAAATTTCCTCCTCTTATGGATCCTGGTTAGGATGAGGCCTTCTTGTGGCTGACACAGATGTTTCGAAGTCTATTTCAGGTAGTGAATGTTATCTAATACTCTATGCAGGAGAAAACACATTACTTCTCTCCCAGGGAACAACCTCACAAACATTACTGGAAGTGGGAGAAGATGGAAAGTGAGCCAGGGTTCACCATTTGGTACAAGAATTGCAGAGAGGATACAGGAAGGGAAGACGTGAAAGATCATGACTGTCCATCCATACAACCACAATATGGAAGCCTGGTCACAAATATCCCTCAATATTATTGAGGCAAAGTCAACTAGGTGACAATTCCAGGGATCAGTGGCTCAGAGGCTATAGGTGCAGCCTCCTCTAGCTCTTAGAATGCAATTCAGGAAGCTGCTCACAACTCACTGTGGGCTCTATCTCAGGCACTGAGAGGGAAGGTGCTGATGAGACTGGCTCTTCTGGCTGGTTCAGAAGGTGGCTATCAGTTCCTTGCAGGGAGGCACTGCTCGAGGTCTGAGAATCTGAAAGATTAAGGGAAGATAGTGATAAATGTCTTCTTCTAACCTGGATGACATTAGCATTTACCAAGCATCCAAGCATTCTGATAAAGGCCAGGGCTTGGTACTAATATATAAACAGACAGAAGAGCCACAACGTTCAACTTCCAGCTGACTTTCTGAAATCTCTGTTTTTACTATGAAGATTCCCTAGCCCCACTTTCACCAGGTAGAGAGTTTCCTTGACTCAAAGTAGCCAACTGCTCTTCTATACATTCTCTGACATGTCTCAGGAAGAGTGACAAGTCTTTTTCCCCTGGTTATCTGGCTAACCCAGCTAAGCACCTAGACCAGCACTGTCTAATAGAAACTTCTGCAATGATAGAAATGTTCTGTATCTACACTGTCAAATTTAGCAGTCACTAACTACATGTGGCTACTAACTACTTGAAATGTGGCTAGTGCAAATGAGGAATCAAATATTTAATTTTATTTAAATTTAAATAACCACATGTGGCTAGGGCTACCATATTGGATGGTGCACACCTAGACCGTACCTCTAACCCCAAGGAGACCAGGCATCTCTGGAGCGACTCACCAGTGCCTTGATGCTTCTGTCCCACTTGGACCTCTTGTTTGGTGACTGCCACATACAGACTCTGCAGATTCATGACAAAGGGCCTTCCATTACCAATACTGCATGCCTCTGGTAGTTTCTACAGGGAAGAGCAGATCCTGTCATCAGTCATACTGTACTGCCAGAGAAAAGGGACCTGACACTCCAGTGGCAGAACTGGCATCAACCCCAAAATAATTTATATAAAGAAGTTGTTGCTGTCTGCCATTGAGTCAATTCTAACTCATAGTGACCCTACAGGACAGGGTAAAACTGCCTCATAGGGTTTTCTAGGCTGTATTCTTTATGGGAGCAGATTGCCAGGTCTTTTCTCCCATGGAGCGGCTGGTGGGTTCAAACTTCCAAACTTTTTGGTTCATAGCCAAGTGCTTAACCATCATGCCACCAGGGCTCCTTATAAAGATTTGGAACCAATATAGGGTGTCCAGATCCAAGCCTGCTGGGAACAATATAAAGACCCCTTGATCTATGGATGCAGAAGTTATTTGATAAAATCCAATACCCTTTCTTGATGAAAACCCTAAAGGAGATTGGAATAGAAAAGTAATTCCTCAATATGATTCAGGGTACGTATGAAAAGTCAACAGCCAATATTAAAGTTAACTGAGAAAGACTGAAAGCTTTCCCCCTTGAAATCAGGAATAAGACAAGGGTGCCTGCTCTAACCACTTCCATTCAATATTGTATTAGAAGTCCTAGCCACAGCAATAAGGCAAGAAAAAGAAATAAAAGGTATCCAGATTGGAAAGAAAGTAAAGTTATCTCTATTCGTGGATGACATGATCCTATCTATAGAAAATCCCAAAGAGTCCACAAGAAAATTTCTAGAGCTAACAGAGCAAAGTTGCAGGGTATGAGGTCAACAAAGAAAAACCAGTTGGGTTTCTATACACCAACAATAAGAAATCTGAAAGGGAAATTAGGGAAATGATTCCATTGACAGTAGCATCTAGAGAATAAAATACCTAAGAATAAATTTAACCAAGGATGTGAAGGATTTATAAAATGAAAATTATAAAACACTGCTGAAAGACATTAAAGAAGACTTCAATAAATGGAAAGATATTCCATGTTCATGGATTGGATGACTTAATATTATTAAGATGTCAATACTACCCAAAGTGATCTACAGATTCAAAGCAATTCTGATCAAAATTCCAACAGCCTTCATTAAAGAAATGCAAAAACCAATCCTCAACTTTATATGGAATGGCAAGAGGCCCCAAATAGCTAAAGCAATGTTGAAAGAGAAGAACAAAGTAGGAGGACTCACACTTCTTGATTTTAAAACATATTACACAGAAACAGTAATCAAAACAGGCTTATACTGGTATAACAGTAGACATACAGACCAGTGGAATAGAATTGAGAGTCCAGAAATAAACCTACACATCTATGTCAACTGGTTCTTGACAAGGGCGCTAAGTCCATTCGACGTGCAAAATAAAGTCTCTTCAATAAATGGTGCTGGGAAAACTGGATTTCTACATGCAGAAAAATGAAACAGGATCCATGCCTCACACCATACACAAAAACAAATTTGAAATGGATTAAGAACCTAAATGTGCAAACTAAAAACAAAAATTCTTAGAAGAAAATGCAGGGGCAATGCTGTCAGGCCTAGCTTTTAACAATAGATTGGCTAATATAATAACAAAAGCACAGACAGCAAAAGACAAATAGATAACTGGGATCCCATAAAAATTAAAAACTTTTGTTCGTCAGAAAACTTTACCAAAAAAGCAAAAAGACAAGCTACAGATAGGCAGAATATCTTCAGAAACCATATAGCTGATAAGAATCTAATAACCAATATATATATAAAACTATGACAACTTAACAACAAAAAGACAAGTAACTCAATCATAAAATGGGCAAAGGACTTGAATAGACTTTTCACCAAAGATGACATTCAAATGGCCACCAAACACAGGAAAAGATGCTCAACATCATTAGCTACCAAGGAGATGCAAATCAAAACCATAATGAGATACCATTTCACTCCCACTAGGATGGCTAAGATAAAAAAAAAACAAACAGAAAATAACAAATGTTGGCTAGGATGTGGGGATACTGTAACCCTTATCCATTGCTGGTGGAAATGCAAAATGGTATGGCCCTTGTGGAAAACAGTGTAGTGGTTCCTCAAAAAACTAAAAATAGAACTACCATATGGCCCAGAAATTCTACTCCTAGGTATATACCCGAAAGACTTGAAACCAGAGACTCAAACAGAGACTTGTACGCCAATGTTCGTTGCAGCACTGTTCACAATAGCCAAAAGATGGAAACAACCTAAATGTCCATCAACAGATTAATGGAAAAACAAAATGTATACATACATACAATGGAATACTACTCAGCCAGTAAGAGAAATAAAGTCTTGATACGTGTTACAACATGGATGGAGCTTGAAGACATTATACTGAGTGAAACAAGTCAATTACAAAAGGACAAATATTGTATGACCTAACTTATATAATAAGAGACAAGAAAAGGCAAATATTTAGAGACGAAAGTATATTTATTAGTGGTTACCAGGCATGGGAGGAAAGGGGAAAGAGGGGGTTAACAGTGATGGAAAAATCTCATTGATTAAGGGTAGGGCTTCACAGCCTATTATTTTAATTGCTGTCAATAAGCTATACACCTGTAAAATGTTGAATTGGCAAAATTATGTGATATATTTACAATGATGACAGGAAAAAAAAAAAAAGACTAGCTGCTGAAGCTACTTATGTACAACCAAACACCTCATGGGATTTGGTTCCTTGGTTTGGAGGTTTAGAAACATGGTTTCCTGGGACATCCCAGTTAACTGGCCTAATAAAGTGTTCAGTGCTTCTATTCTGCCTCCTAGTTTATTGTGTAGTGCCTGGGGTCTTAAAAGCTTGCAAGCAGCCATCCAAGGTACTACATTTGGTTTGTATTCACTTGGAGCAACAGAGAAAGAAGGAGAGTCAGGAACAGTGGGAGGATATGGAATGTATGGCTAATTGCCTCCATGAACAACTGCCTCCTTTTCCATGAGATCAGAAGAACTGAATGGTGTCCAGCTACCATTACTGAATATTTTGATCAAAGATTTATAGAAGAATCCTGATCAAAAGGGTAAAAATGTAAAACAGAATTTCAAATTCTCATGGAATTCAGAGCCATGGAGGCTGGGTGAACCCCTGAAACTATTGCCCTAAGATAATCTTTAAACCTTAAACCAAAAATATCCTCTGAAGTCTTCTTAAAACCAAACAATAGTTTCGATTAGCTAGTAAAGAATGTCTACCTTGAGCATTAGGCTCTTTTAAGAACTATCTATATGGGATCAAATTGGCAACAGCAACTCAAAAGGTTAGATAAGAACCTTAGGGAGGAGTGAGTTTATGTTAACTCAGAAAAGGAGGGTGAGAATGGTTGCACAACTCAAAGAATGTAAGGAATGTCACTGAATTGTACATTTAGAAACTACTGAATTGGTGTACGTTTTGCTGTGTATATTCTCAACAAGAGCAAAAACAACAAAAAAATAAAATTAAAAAGAAAAAAAAGACCTCTCAGGCAGTCTCCTCTGACGGTAACTCCAAACTATATCCTAATGTTCCCCAATCCTTAGGTTTATTATGCTTTCCAAGGAATACCTCATAGGCCTTCAGGCTCTTTCTTCCAAAGGATGAACTCTTAGAGGTCTATTTTAGGAAATTATCCTCCCTAAGTTGTTCCTAAATTGTACAGATTACTATTCTAATTAAATTCACTCCTAAACCTCCACACTGTTGTTATTGTTAGCTTCCACTGAATCAGTCCTGACTCATGGCGACACCATGTGCAACGGAAGGAAACGCTGCCTGGTCCTGTGCCATCCCCATGATTGGTTGCAGATCAGACCGTCGTGAATCACAGGATTTTCACTGGCTGATTTTCCAATTAGATGATCATGCCTTTCTTCCTAATCTGTCTTAGTCTGGAAGCTCCGCTGAAACCTGTTCAGCATCATAGCAACATGCAAGCCTCCAATGACAGATGCATGGTGGCTGTGCATGAGGTGTCTTGGCTGGGAATCAAACCTGAGTCTCACATGCAGAAAGCAAGAATTCTACTTCCACACTAGAGAGAGAAAAATGATGAAATCCAGGATAGAAGAGACTGAAAGAAGGCAAAATGGGAATGATAGACTGAAAGATATGAAAAAATTATGGAGCTGTGATGTTAAGTCAGAGGACATGGGAAAAATAGAATTGACAAAGCTTTTGAGTTTTACCTGGCATTTTATATTCTCTACTCCAACCCTACTGTCTTTACTATAATCCATGCATTCTCAGTGGGGGCGATATTTCCCTCAAGGGAGCAAAAATTAGTTCTTCAGAGGTGAAAAGAATCTTACTCTTTTAAAGTGTGAAGTATATATACATATACTGCACATATATAGATATATGGTATATCTGTGATATTAAAATTTCCTGATGGGGGAGAGATGCAATTAACAAAAATGTTTTAAAAGTCTCCTTAGAGAGGATAATAGGGGGAAAAAAAGGTCGAGAAACAGTGCTATAATTACAGTATATTTACCTGTGTCGTTTACTACAGAATGAATTGTGGATTTATATCCACAGCAAATGCTTTCTTTGCCTAGTGCAAGTTCCATACACTTGGCTGAACTGAGTTGAAATAATGGTCAAAGACTGAACAAAGTGCAATAAGAATGAGATGAAAGAGTGTGGCATCCAGTTGTCCCAAACCTGGCTGCACTTCAGAATCCTGGAAAGGGCCCAGAACTACTTCATCTGTCCTTCTGCATACAAATCATCATGGTTCCCAGCCAAGTTATCAGTGCCCGAGGGGCAGCCATGCTGGCAGCTCACATGGGAACCAATCCAAGAATCCTGGATTGGACCATATCTTGTGTCAAGGGTATTTTTTCTGTGCGATAAGGGCATTCATTTCTGAAAACCCACTGTGGGAGAAAGATGGTAGAGAGAAAGTATGAGAAATAGCAAAGTAGGCACCAAACCATAGTCAGGATTATACAGTTATCTTTCTCTGAGTGTAATGGTAGTTGGAAAGCCTGCTGATCCCCCAAAAATG